CAGTGGCGTTCCGAGAAGGGAGGGACGCCGGGGTTGAAATCTTAGCCGTCACTAGTCTGTCTCTGGGATTTAGGCTCATCCAAGAGGGGGTGCAGCTGCACACCCTGAAGGGAGAGTCTCCTGTCGGCACTCATTCCAGGGGAGCAGCTCACATCTCCAGGGCAGCAAGCCCTGCAGCCCGGAGTAACAGCCAGCCGCTGTCACAGACGTGGGCCCCTCCAGCGATTGCCCTCCCTCGCTTCTCTAAGGGAAAGTGCTGACAGTATTTCCCAAGCCTTAATTATACATAATAGCTATCTCTTTAGTCAAAGAAAAGCTGAATGTAAACTCAAAACCATATCGACATTATTGACCCACCGCGGGCCCGCAAGAGTCTCGCCTCTGCCTGCCGATATGACAGACATTTGTGAGAGAAGGACACAAATGTCCCGCGTCCTTGACAGGCAGCCTTCATTTCCACATCAGGCAGATTCTGTCTTAGCGGATTTGTGAGGAGAAAGGGAATCAAACTCCGGATAAAAACTTGGCTTTGAACTTCCCGTTCCTCCTCGGTATCTTTGGAGTGACTAGCAAGAGCTACTGTGGCTGAACACTCTCAGCCTAGACAAAAATCTAAATATGGACCCGCGCATGTGTACAGCTTAGATTGTGCACCCGGGAGGAAAACAAGCTGGCCCTCTGTCCGTCCCAGTCCCTCCCTGTGTAGAAATCTGGCTGGGGATGAAGGTTTGAGCTCATAGTGCCGACTTTCTCTGAGACCGCTGAGCACAGCGCTGGAAACAAACATCCTGGCACCTGAACCGAGTGTGGCTTGATCGTCCTGCTTGCCAACAAAGGGCTGTGCTCTTGCTGTCCCAGGTCCTACTCTGCAAAAGGTGGCCCCTATATTACACCCTAACAACTCTAGCGCATTAGTGCGTGTTGGCCACAGACTGTGGAGCAGGACTCTGTGTTTTTAACCAAGGTTAGGGTCTTTCGCAGCAGCGGTATTGTGGTCCTAAGTGTGCTTCTGGCCTTTGTGGTTCTGTAGAAATTCAGTGTCCTTCAAAGGAGAGTGATGTGTGCCCAGAAGAAATCTGCTTCCTCAGCTCAGGCCCTCGGCTGCCTTGGAGAGTCTGGGAAGACAATAATTCTGATCTGTTTGGTGGCTGTTTCTGGCTTCAGTGTGATCTCCCTGTCCTTTAGTCGCTAGTGAAATTGCCATCCGAGTCCCATCTAGGGGTCTTCTGTTCCCTGTGGCTTCTGTCTCAAAATAATCCGTGACTGAGTATCCTCAACACTGCCCGGGAAACACAGCTGAAAGCAGAAAGTGTGTGAGGAGAAGGGCTATTCACTTGCTCAGCTAGACTTTCCATTCCCTGTTAGAGAAGGTTTGACTGAAATGACCAGAAAGAAAGAAAAGGCTGTTATTAGAAGAAGAGCTGCGGGAAAACAAAAACGAAACAAAACAAAAATGAACAAAAATACACATTCAGAAACATTAGTTCTGGGTAAAATCAATGCTGAAAAAAAAATAAAAAAATTCCAGAATTGTTCTGTAATCTAAATCCCAGAAACAATCTGTATTTGTTTACAATCACCAGTCTCCTCACCCTCACTGTGAAGGATCTTGAGTGTCTGTGTCAGGGAGAGCAATGCTAACCGCTGTGTGAGGTGAGCGAGTGCCTGAATTGGAGGGTTTAAGGATGGCCTCTAGCAGCCCAGGCCAGGCCTTGGACTGTGGCAAGGCTTCAGGGCTGGGACCTCCTCCTTTCTCATGACTGCAACATCCACAGGGACCTCACAGTGCTCAGCCTCCAACCCCAGAGGGAGGAGGAAGGTGGAGCAGGGCCCCCTACACACCGATAGGACAGACTCCACCTCTGCTTTCATGTGCCTGGTAAAAGCTGCTCACCAGACCTCAAGTATATGAAAATGAGCCTGGGAAATGGTGCCCCAGCAAAGCAACCACTTCCCAGAGATTCATTTCAACCAGGCCAGAACAGGCTGCCTTCCAAGGACAGACAGCAGTCTCTGTCCCATGGTTATATGGTGTTGGGTTGATCCTTTTAGTGACGTCACTGACAATGGTAAATTCGCAATTTTGGAGCACCCAGGAATCTACAATTCTCCAATACATATCTGCTCCATTTATGGACAGATAGCACTAATTCTAAGAACATTCGTTTATCGAATCAAGAATCTGTCATCATGAAACTTCATACAACTCCCTCCTGTTGACCTTGGCTCCACCCTGCCAGAATCATTTGGCTACAATGTTACCCTTCACTCTAGAGGTCTTCAAAACATGAAAGAGTCATGTGTCTCCTTTAGGTGGTTAATTTTCTAAACATCCCTGGTTTCACATTGACTTCATTGCCCTTGTGCTACTGATGTTCAGCCTTCACAAGGAGTTTAGGTAATGGAAGCTGGAGGGATGGCTCAGCAGGTAAGAGCATGTATTGCTTCTGTAGGGGACCCAAAGCAGTTCCCAGCACCCATGTCAGGCAGCTCACAACTGCCTCAAACTGCAGCTGCAGGAGAATCTGACTTCTCTGACCTCATACCCACTGTGTGTGGGTACTGCACACACATACAGTGTATAAACACACACACACACACACACTCACATACATATACATACACACACTCCACACACACGCTTAAAATTAATATGTCTTTTTAAAAGATTTGGCTAAGAATGAGCTCGCAAGCCACACCATTGTCACTTGCATTCAGGGAGCTTAGTTCAGTCCTATGCAGGCTCCCCAGTTGTCAGTCTGGAGTCAGTGAACATATACTATCTCCAGTCAGCTGATTCTGTGGGTTTCCCCATCATGGTCTTGACCCCTATTATTGCTCCTCCCTCTCTTTGATTGTACTCCCAGTAGTTAGTTCTAGATCTCTGCATCCACTTCCTCTTCTGGATGAGGGTTCTAGCTTCTTGGGACTTGTGACTTGGGCGGCATGTGAAGCCACTAGGAGTGGGACCGGGATCTATCCCTAATAGATGGACTGACTTTGTGGAGCCCATTCTCTGTGGAGAGATACCTTACTCAGCCTAAGCACAGGGTGGGGAGGAGGGGGATCCTTGGTCCTGCCCCAGGGGGTGATGGGACAGACTTAATTGACTTCCCAGGAGAGGTCTTATCTTACCCTCTCTGAGGAGCAGATGAGGGTGGGGTGGGGGTAAGGTGGGGGGAGCAGGAGGAAAGGAAGGAGGGAGAACTGGGATTGGCATCCAAAAATAAGTAAATAAATAAATAAATCAAAGAAAAAGGAATGAGAATGCAGTATCAGGCAAGCAGGTGAGCATAAGAGGGTTGGGAGATGAGGAGAAAGTCTCATTGCGCCTCCAGTTCAAGGAGAAGCATGCTTTGGGCGTCTTTCTCACCCTCGTGCACTGCCTGGTTGACTGTGGGTAGGAGTTCACCTATGGTCTTCTCCAACCTCACCTCCTTCAGGGTTGTGCACCAGAGGGGATGAACTTATTTTTCCCAATCAAGGATTTTTGAGACTTAAAAAGAAAAGCACAGCTGAACTAAAATGATAGCAAAAAAGGGCTCATAACCAAAAGGCCTTAGGTGGGCTATACCTCCCAGCGGCTGTGCTCTACACAGTCCTGGAGGTGACCGTATGTTAGATGCCGAGCTGAGCTCTTCGTGTCCAGAAGAATTAATAAAGCTTAGATTAAATACCAAAGAGGCGGGGTCTAGCGCACTGCTCCTGCAGGAATGTTGGGAAATGTGGAGTCTGTTCCTGTCCCGCGCTGGGGCTGGGGCTGTGCAAACAGGCTCCATCACAGTAGCTTAAGGTTTTCTGACGATTAAATTTTACAATTAGAAGTCGCACTGTGCATAAGAGCACCTTACATTGGTTGTACTGTTTGGCTCACACAATGCAGAGACACAGCTGGCCTCTGTTATATTTTATTTTGCTCTGTTTTGGTGGGAGAAAGGAAAGGCAGACTTGTGAACAACCTTTTAATATAGTTTAGAAACTTGGTGTGCAAAGGGCACTGATACAGTAATTACCGGTTTCCTTTCATCAGCCCCGGTGCCTTTGTCACTTCTGCTATTTAAAGTTACTGTTCACACACTGTGGCTAATTCCTTTTGTTAAATTTCACATTGAATGCAGCTTCCTGAATATTTGTTATTGCGGTCCTATGGATGTAGGCTTCTCAGATAAAGGGAAAGCTTGGTGCATCCATCTGTAGGCAAATTAAAAATGAGTTTAACCCCTTGACTTCCGAGTCTCTGCACCCTCAGGCAGAATGTGTTCTATGGGGTTGACTGACAAGACTTAACATTGTGCCAACATCTGTGTTTTATTTTTTAATGGCGCTCTCTAGAACATCCAAAGGAACTGTGTTGGTGTGACCTATGTTCTCGCAAAAAAACATGTCCAGGGAGGAGGCAGAGGGCATTGACTCAGGGAAAGAATTCAGAGTTGAGGAAAAAGAAAAATGCAGAGGTGCTTTTACGGTTGGAAGAGTAAAAAGCTTATTTCCATCATTCGGGGCTTATTCCCTGGTGGATCCTCAGGTTACTCACAACCAGAGGAGTGTTTAAACCAAAGAGAGGAAAGCAGAGGGATGAGCGGGGGTGGATGTCTGACTTTTCCACTCCCCTGTACAGCATCAGCACTATCTGTCCTGGGGGAGGCGGGAGGCAGCCTGCTTAGTCTTCTCCCTTTTTATTTCTTATGCAATATTCAGAGAAAAACAGAGAGGAGCAAGAGCAAGGAAACAATCGCTCTTCTCTATCTGTTCCTCTCGATCTCATACAAGATCCGTACAAGAATGATTTTGCATCTGTTTGCTGGAAATTCAACCCTTGTTTATTCAGTCAGCAGACATGTGTTGGGTGCCCTCCCACTCCCTGCCCCCACACATTCTCTTGTAGTCCCAACCTCGTGTGGAGGAGGAAAACCTCAGAGTTCTAAAGGGTCGTGTGTCACGGGAAGCTTGTCAGCGACAGGAAAAGGCAGAGACAATGTAGGGGAAGGAACGGAAGCAGGGGAAGGAGAGCGGAGCTCCATCGAGGGACAGGATAAGGAAAGTCTCTCAAGAGACTCTGGCCAGATGACCACCTGCAGAGCCCATGCTCCCAGCTGAGGGCTGAACAAGCCCTGATCCTAGGCCAGGAAACCAATATGGTGGACTTGAGAAAAGGAGGAGTCTAGAGAGGAGGCTATGGGCATTGTCAGACCTTGGGTACACAGGTAAGCCAACCGAGGGCTCTGTTTGCTGATTCCTTTAACAACACCATCTGCTAAACATCCTCAAACTGTAGAAAACAGCCAGACAAACCTTGTGCAGGTATGGTCCACCTCCAATAAGCAGTATCCTTGGGGCTCCCATATACCCCCAGTTCTTTATCAATGCTGTCCCAATTCTAATTTATCAGGCCTTGTTTTAGAGACAAAGTCTCATGCATCCCAGTCTGGTGTCAAACTTGTTATGTGACTGAGAAAAACTTTGAACTTCTATTACTAATACCCCCACTCATTCCCACCCAGTACTGGGACTCAAGCGTGCCCTACCATGCCGGATTTATCTAGAGCTTCATGTATATCTTGTGAGCTCTCTTCCAGCTAAGCACGCCTCCCCATAAGTGTCCTGCAAGCTCTTAATTCTGTTTCTTTCCCACATAAATAATTCAGTGTGGATCACACACTGGAACACTGAATGGTTCTTTAAACACTGCTCTCTAGTGATCAAACAGCTCGCCTGTGTGTAAAACCTGAATGGGCGCACAGTTTTCATTTGGCTCTGTTCAAATCAGAATACAAGTAGGGTTCTTGGATTGCGTGTGCTTGATAGTCACTTTATTCTCTCTTAATCTTTAGGTTCTTTTTCACCGGAGGGCTTAAAGTAAGGAGATTTCATCCTTCTCCGTGTTTTAAAAAATCTCTGCTTAAGCTCTGTGTAGTCAGAAGCCATCATGAGAACGTGACGGAAGAACATGACCGAGGAAGCGGCAGCTGCTGGCATCTGTGACCGTGACCTAGCAGCTTGTGAAACACAGCACGGACTCGGTGACGCCGGAGGAGGAAAGCGCTCGGACGGATGTAAGAGTTGCATGCCAACCATCATCTCGTTTTCTACATAGTCCGCACCGGGATGATTTTCTGTGGTACACTAACAGAGTTTTCAGATTACAAATGTGTCTATACCACCATAAATAAATCAAACTGCCAGTGGATCCAGGCATAGACACATAGCTGTGTTAGAAATAAAATCAGGCATGCAGCATGCTTGGGTAACAGCAGGATGATAAAGCAAAAAGGAGTCTCGAATCCACACAATAACAACAACATCCTCTGTTCACATTTTCCCGCACTTCCAAAAATAGATTGCTTCTAGCTGCCCAAATGTGATTTCCTCTCAGAATTGATCTTCTTCCTTGAAATTCTCACAGATTATTTAAAGTGACAGCATGACCTGGTGGAATTAATGATTCAACCCTGAGAGACAACAAAGTACCTGGCTTTGAAATTCAATTCTTAGGAAGACCCAGGAGCTGAGCTGGAAGCAAACACAAGATGCAGGTCACTTGGACCCTGTGGTCCTGGGTTCTGAGGTCCTGGGTTCTCCGGGGCCGGCTGCCCTGCAGCCAAGCCCACTCCTATTCCTCAACAGAGGCCCTTTTTCGTCTTTTGACTCTTGATGGTTTTGTGCCTGCTCCGGCCAAAACCCCCTTCCTGCTCGCCTTTCATGCACAGTGTGTTTCCCAGCATTCTTGCACAATCTGGGAAGAGAGTCTGAGCACTCTCGTCCGCTTTGCTCCATGTTCTTTTACCCATGGGTGGCTTTCTTTTTACGTTCACTGCCCATTTGAATTGAGCTTTGAAAGCATCCAGAAGTGTCATTTGTGAAGGCAGCCAGTGTCCTCAGAGGCCCCGTGGGTTATGACTCAGATCCCCTAGGAGCCTCCTGTTGGTGTCTTAGGTCTGATTATCATTTAGAGCTTTCAAAATAGAAAAGCTGAAAATGGAGGGAAGGGCAGTTTTAAAAAATAGAAAGAAAAGAAAGGAAAAAAGAAATCCTCAGGGAACAGTAAGTTCCATTTATTAGTGTTATTATTTAGCATTGCATGTCAACCGCCTCTCAGGAGCCATGGGTGCAGATGGACAAACAGGCCTCCAGGCAGTTATCTCTACTCTACACCCAACAGTGACATCAGGGGCCTGGGTTCCCATCAGTGGCCCTTGCTTACTATATTGCTGAGAGCGTGAACACAGCTGAAGATGAGGGCCATGGCTGATGTTCCTGTCCTGGCACGGTGCTCGCTGACAGCGAGGTTCATGCACGAGCTACAGCAGCTCTGCGTAGGGCCAGCACGTTCACGGTCACCTCTCTGCGGTGAAGTGGTGCACGTTTCCTTAGGTTGTGGCTCAGGACTAGCGTCATTTATCACCACTGGTGTTAGATAGACAGGATGCTGCGTTCTGTCCTACTCTAAATGGCCTACCTTCTTCTGGTAGAAGATGGAGAAACTTTAAGGTCCCATCTCTCTGACGCCGGTCATTTTGATAAGAGTTGTAAATGGTAATTCAAAACTCTAATAAATGTGTTCTTCACAAAAGCAAACAAGCATAAAAGCTCTGATAATCTCTGATGCTGAGCCAGGAAGATGGTTCTCTAGGTAAAGACCCTTGTCACCAAGCCCCAGGACCCGATTCTGGGGCCCACATAGAAAAGGAAAAGAACCAACGCTCCCAGATTGTCCTCTGACCTCCTTATGAACACTGCGGTATGCTGGCATGCACACACATGCACAAACACTCGCATAAATAATAAATAGCAGTACATAAATGCAAAAAGTCCTTTGACATTTTCAATGGAAAAGAAAAGAGACAAAATCCCCTATGTTTCTACAAAAAGGAAGGTGGAAAACTTTGCCTTGATTCTATGAGAAGAGATCATTTGGTTCTTCATTAGAGGCTCTAAGCATCTGCTGAGCTCAATCACATGCTATTGATACGACCTGTTTCCCTCCCCAGAGCACCTCACAGATCAATAGCTCAGAAGGATGCTTCTCTCTGAGGCTCTCTCCACACTGTGTCGCCTCAAATAGCATGGCCTTCATCCACTTGAGATGACTCTTTCATATGCTTGAAGCCTCTTCATTTCCTATAGGCGACGCAGGGTAATTAATAATTACTATTTTGATGATGAGCATTTTGCCTGGTGCCAGCCACGGAGCTAAGCTTTTAATATAAGTTATCTCACTTAATCCCTTCAACAACTATTAAGATCTCTCCATTAAATATATGAGGCACCTGGGATTTGGGAAGTTTAAATAACTTGTCCAGAGTCACTTGACTCAATTACAGAAACACGACCCCTGTGCAGGCTCTATTCTTATACCTCATTCCCCTCTGAAGAAGTATTTTATTATTTGCCCATTAAAGCCTCCCACCATCAGTGTGTGTGTGTGTGTGTGTGTTTATGTGCATGTATGTGTGTCCGCATATGTGCTTGTATGTGTTCATTGTTTTCAGTCAAACTCACTTCTTTTGTTAAATTTCCAGCTGACTTAGCTTCCTAGCATTTCCGTTGCATTCCACGGGGCAGTGAGCTCAGTGCGAGACCCCAAGGTCAGCTACTCTGCAGTGCTTCCTACTGAGCAGACAGGAAGCATGCAGGAGTCACCAGGAAGCCTGTCCAGGGGAGATTCCTACAGTTGAAAGGACAGCACCATCAAGGAGTCAAGCTGGCCTTAGAAGTTGACAAGAAATGGATGTTATAATCTCAAAAATCAAAAGGGGGGTGGAAATTTTTATTTTTCTATTCACATGCTACGAAATGTGCTATCTTATGCTATTGATTTTCAATTTCCGTAAATGTTGACTAATCCTGAAAAAAAAGGCTTCACTTTGGGAAAGCCTGGTTGTAAACACTGTGAAATATTTTATCCCAGAGCAAAGGCCAGCTCTCAGCAGCCAGGGTGGCAGCTGGAGTCAAGGGCACCCGTCTCTGTTCTGGAACTCCCAGAATGCCAGCTGTTGGGACATTCCTCTTTAATAAATCATTGAGAATAAAAGACCCTGTACTAGTTTGGGGTTATTAAAGTTGAGTCCAGATAGGGAAAGGGAGAGAAAGCAGAGTTGTCTGGGTTCTTATGCAAGAAAAGTACAAAGTGTAAGCTTATAAAGGCCATGAAACCCTCCTTTATGCTACAAATGAGCTCATTGACCATCACTCTGCCCAGATTTCCCCGCATCTATGATTCTACATACAACCACAGGATGTCTCTAATTGCCGCTTTATTATTTGCAGGAAGGTGGTACAGGGTTTCCTCTGCTACCCCTCTCTCTCTTTTGGAGATGTGTGCTCTTGGCCATTTCCTGTGCAGAACCTCAGCTCCATAAACGCTGACTGGCATTCTCTGCCTAGAAATCCCACCAGGGTCTCCCACTTGCCAGCTCAGAACCACTCACCCTGCCTGTCCCACTCATTGGCCTCAGATTCAACTCTCTTCACTAAGCAGGAAGCCGGGTGTCGTCTTAGAACCGCTTTCTCCTGCTCCTCCCTCTGTGTCCCTCGTCTAGGAAATTGGCAAACACAGTCTGCCTCCTCCTTCCAAACTGCCTCTTAAACCCATCCCTTTTCCAGTCTGCCACTGGGGCGCCTCACACATTCCTGGTGTGTCTGTTACACAGCCCTATGTGCTGGTTGGATAGATGTGACTCAGGTCAGCTCATGCATGACTTGACTGCACCTCTGTGCACCATGGCACCTCAGCCTTGCTCTTCCAGTGTCCACTCCAAGTGACTCAGCTTTAGACTCCAGAGGTCTTGAGTGCCAGCAATACCCCTTTCAGAACAGACAGGAACATATTTCCTGTTGTGATTAAACCCTGGTGGGCCCTGAATTTATGCTCACTACCATATGACTGTAGAATCTCAAATATTTTGGTCTGAATTTCTACTAATCCTACTAATGTCTGTTCCCTTCTAGCCATTCCTCCAGGTCTGTGACCCACTTCATACAGCCTGTCTCCATGAACTTCCAAGAACGAGCTTCTGACATCACAAGTCCTTCTTCAAGGATCTGCTGCACCCTTCATTAGGAAAGGCCAACTTCTTTGAGAAATCAAGAAAACTGAAAGGTGCAGAAGCCTTTGAAACAGATAGTGGAGGGCAGTAAAGTGAAATCCTGTAACAGCGGAGAAACTCTGGGGACATTAGGAGAATGGATGGATGGGACAGAAAGACCGGAAGAATGCATGCAATCACCTTTCTGCCAGCCAGTTAATTTTCGTGTCCTTTCCTTTACTAGGTAACCCCCATAAGAGGTGCAAGGCAAATCAGGTTTCTTAGCGGAAATTATAGACTTGCTTGCCTCTCGGTGTTGTGCAGACCCTAACAGCGTATTCTAAGGAAGTTTAACATGAATACTGCTGGGATCGTGTGGACTGCATTCAACAAAACCTCCTGTGTGCTATGGGGTCACATGGCTAGGAGTTCAAAGATGAAAAGCATTCCAGCTATTAGGTAGGCACCCCAGTTTAGAAAATTCTCCAGAAACATGAATACAGGCACAGTGTGCATCTGATTTTAGACTGCTTGGCTTTGGGGGGAACTTTGGGTCACCTGCTCATTCTGTGACACTGATCACATGCCACCTGCACATGTGTCCTGTTTATCCACTCCCCAGACAACACCTAAAAGCAGGAGGTGGGGCAGGCATCCCAGGGTCTTCCTCGAGGGTCAAATGGAAAGGTACGTCCCCTGGTTGGGTTGGTTGTCAATGAATACTTTTCAGATGAGAAAACGCCTTAAGTTTCTAACACAGTCTCTGAAATTCCATACAGGGTTTAAAGAGCTGCATACATAGTGTTTGAAATCACCCAGTTCTCAGACATGGGATTTGGACCACTTTGAATTGCCGGGCATTACCAGTGGAGTAAAATGCCAAACTTCTTCCCTGTGCACACACGGATGGATAAGAACAGCATCTTCTGCTGCTTGAGTCTGAATTGCGCTGTCGAGTGAAGTCAAGATGTGTTCTTCACAGAAGCAGGATGTTTTTGTCTTTTCTGAGTTCTCCGCCCACGAATGAACAACTCACATCTTATTGTAGAGAAGATGTTTGATCCCCCTTTCCTCCACCATATGGAAGGTGTCGGCATATCAGGTGTATAATTGGCCATCTGGACTTTGCAGGGTGCCATTTGTCCTTTGACCTTATATAAAATACAAATGTTTACAGAGTCCTTTTCAAGACAGGGAACTATCATTCCTTTCGATGATTATATCTGGACTTTGGATTATTTTTAGAAAATTTTTCCAGGATAGGAATGTATCAGATTTTGTCTTTTTCTGAAGAAGGATGACAAGTTATTTGAATATCATTTATTTTAAAAACTGTCTTTTCCCAAGGGGTGATATATGTATATGCATATTTGTATGTGTGTTTATATTAGCTTTATATTATACTGATCTTTTAATTTTTAAACTTTATGTGTGTGTGTGTGTGTGTGTGTGATATGTGCGTGTATATGCTCGCAGTAGCACATGTGGGGGTGAGAGGACAGTTTTATGGGGTTGGACTTTTCACCATACATAGATTCTAGGGTTTAGACTCAAATCATGAGGCTTGCATTGTGTGGAGGCTGTGTGTGGGTTCCTAGAATCCAAGGCAGGGCCATCGGGCTGACTTCGCATGGCAGCCAGCACCTTTACCCTCAAAGCCATCTCGCCAGTTCCTTGTACTTAGGGTTCTAATTCCTTTATGCCATCTTTCCATAAATGTATCCATGGTTCCTACAGAAGACTAATATTTTATTTATTGCTTCTTACTTCTTCCTTTCCCAGTGGATTTCCGCATCCAGTGACCTGTCTTTGTGGAGAGAGAGAGAGAGAGAATGCATGCATGTGTGTACACATGTGAGGGTGTGTGGGGGTCCCTGCATGTGTATGGATATGTGTACACTTGTGTGTGTGTGCATGTGTTTGTATGTGTGTATGGATAGGTGTGCACGTCTTAAGTACCGGGACACTAAATTCAGCTGTGAACCAGAGGAAGCTGTATGTTGAAGACAGTGTAACATTTCCACCTGCTTAAGTCTGGGCCATAGCAACGGGTGGCAGTAGCTTTCAAGCCATTATTTTTGAGTTCGTTGTTACTCATTTTACCTTATAATGCTATAGCTGTTAGGCCTGTTCTCATTGGTTGTGCATGCCAATAGGCTATTTGTGACTATAAAGGCTATTGATTTTTGTATGTTAATTTTATATTCTGGTAATTGATTGCCTTTTTTTCAATTAGGTGAGCTTTATCTTTAATTCTTTGGAGGGAGGTTCTTGGCATTTTATTATGTCAGCTGAGAAAATTATATTGTTTTCCAGCCGTGTTGATTTTAATTCTTTACTCTAATCGAATAACATTGGCCAGTACTTCTAGAACAATGTTAAATGGTAGAAAGTCAGTGGGGATCTTTATTTCTGACCTTCAGAGCACTGGCTTTAGTGCATCCCAATTGGGATTGATCCTGGAGTTAAAATTAGGGTGCAATAGCTAAGGCCAAGGCTTTCCTCTGTCTTCATCCCCCACCCTGCTTTCTTTATTTTTGAAACAGCATCTTGTAATGTATACCAGAATATATATATATGCATATAATAATATAATAATATATGCATATATATTCTAATATATTAGAGATTTATTTTCTCAGTCTTTTATTTCCAAAATATTTTATGAAGATGGAATGGATTTTGTTAATGACTATTTTTCACATTTTTAGAAATAGTTATCTAATTTTTCTCCATAGATCTAATTGTACCATAAAAGATATCAGTAAGCATTCCTGGGTAATCCCAGCTCTCAAGAGGCAGAGGCAGGGGAACTGCACCAAGTTGATGGCCAGTTTGGTCTACACAGTGAGAATCTATCTCAAAAAAAATTTTTAATTCTTTTCTAATATGGAACTTGAGTCACAAATTGTCACAGTGAATGATTTTGGAATTTCTATCACCATTAACAAATGAGTTTGATCCGTTGTCCCTTGAGGGCTCCTCCTGCCGATGGACATGATCCAGGTCTCCTAAAAACCATGTGGCCATTTTCCTCACATCTGTCTCCTGAAACCCACGCAGCCCTTTAATGTGCTCGGCATCTCCCGGGGACACTGTCTGGGTCCTATTAGAAGTAGCAGCTGGTACACATTCCTGCTTCTCTTGTGGAGACTGTTTACACCTCTTGTAACAATTAGCGGCCATTCTAGTAAACTGCTTTGTGCTAAGAAATCAGCGCTTCGCCAGGCTTTGGGGGGGCCGTCGGCTTCCAAGTGTGTCCATCTAGGATTTCTTCCATTCGCTATAGACTCGAGCACTCCCTTATCTTCTGTTTTGCAAAAATTTGCCTACATTTCCCATGTTTAAATTAATTAATGTTTTTTGGGTGTTTTGTTTGCTTGGTTTTGGTTTTTCAAGACAGAGTTTCTCTGTATAGGCCTGACTGTCCTGGAACTCACTCTGTAGATCAGGCTGGCCTCGAACTCACAGAGCTCCGCCTGTGGCTGGCTACAAAGTGTTGGGACTGAAGGCATGTGCCACCACTGCCCAGAAATTCAGCGATTTCTATATTCACAGTTTTGAGATTACTTCTGCTTTTTAATGTAGTTCAGCAGCATCCCCGCCGTTCTGTTACGTCACTTTCTCCTATTTTCCTGAGTATCATTCCCAGCAGCTGTGTTGCCCATTCCCGTATTGATGTTTTGTTTTCTTTTACTGGTTTTCAGAAGGCCAGGATTCAGTCTTGTGCTGGACCAGCTCAAGCTGGGCTCAGACCCCTCTTCTCCTGTCCCACCCCCACTGCACTGTCTCTGCAATCACAGAGTGACACCTCATAACTTTTGCTTTAAACTCTACTTTTGACTTCTAACCTTCAGACGCTTCCTTAAATCTTTCAAGGATTTTGGGGACAGGGGGCAGAGAGGGTTTGGATTTTTTTCGAGATAGGGTTTCTCTGTAGGAGCCTATCCTGAAACTCACTCTGTAGGCCAGTCTGGCCTCGAACTCATGGAGATCCTCCTGTCTCTGCCTCTCAACTTGTGGGATTAAAGGAATGCGCCACTATCTCCCAGATAAATCTTTTAAGCTTTAATTGTTAGCCATGATTCATTTCTGTTTCCCAAGGTTGTTGGGGTTGTTTGGTTTTTAACTATTTTCACTAATGTGTAAGTGTGTGTATCTCTGTGTGCATGTGAGTACAGGAGTTTTAGGTGCCTACTGATGGCAGAGGTATTCTCAGAGGTCCTAGTGGTGGTGAGCTGACCAATGGAGGTGCTAGGGATAAAACTTGGGTCCTCTGGAGTGTAGAATGCTCTCTGAACCTCCAAGCCCTCCTACTTTCTTTTTGTTCTTTGGTGTATCCTTTCTGCATGTTGATTTCTGTGTTCTGTTTTCTCAAGATGGTTCCACAGGCAAATGCCCTGTGTTATTTACTGTGGTTCCTCACCTGGGCCAAGTTCTCGGCTTACCATGTGCTTTTCCATCCGCTGTTGTCTTCTGCGTTGTTTTCCTAGTGGTTGGTCAGGGTGGGAGGATGGGTTAGTGTGTACTCTATCCCACCTTCTTCCCTCATGTTTCTCTCTCTCCTCACCGACATGATCACGGCCAGCACCACCTTCCTGTATACACGTGATCCACAGCACTCTCCATGAGGAAGCGGAAAGCAACATGTCGCAGAGGCCCGTTACCTCCAGCAGTGTTCACATCCCAACCCCTTCCCTGAGGCCAGTGTCTCATCCACGTCATCATCTGTCTTCCTGAGCCCTCCTGGGAGACCATTCCCCTAACCTAGCAACTCCCAGGGTTGGCAAGAGGACTGGTGAGATCTGGTTTATTTCTCTTCTTATGCATTATTCTGTAGGTTACGCTGTCCTGTGTCTTCTGAAAGCTGAGTGTATGGTTCATGGGTGAACGGCAAAAGAGGAAGCTGCAGATGTCATGTGCCCTGCACCTTCTCCACCCAGAAAATTTCTGTCTTCTCCTTAACCCAATTGACTTTTTCCGTGGACCAGAATCTAAGGTCCCGAAGGAACTGAGGCCAGATTATAATGAAGGCAGAGATGGAACTTCGCTGAGAGAGGCAGTGTGTAAGCAAGAGGACGCAGCCGTAGTCACAGGCACTGGGAAGAGACATCTCTGGGGGTTGCCATGAAAATTAACTGAAGCAAGGTGTGTAACAATAAAATCCTGCCATGCTATGCATTCTTTAAAATATCACCATTGTATTCAGATACTAGAGAACATCTCTCTGAGCTTCCCTGGGGACATACTTGACCCAACTTACTTGCCCTTTAAGGAGATTTTCTAAGAACTTACATCGCAGGGAGCTAACACCTACTCCAAGTTTGCCCTTAGACAAGAAGCGCTCTTTAAGAGCTGAACTGGCTAATCTGGGACAGGAAGCTGCTAGACAATAGACAAGCATTTTCCTGCAGACTTGGAAAAGAAAAGGAAGCTAACAGCATGGGCCTCTAATGCTGGATGCACCATCTGCTTCTGCTACTGTTCTTTTTGTTAAAAGCAGGACAACCGAAGAGTTCTTCCAAATGTGGAAGGAGCCCTAAAGTGGCATTTCTGGTTCATGGTCACCGAGAACTCTTTCTCTTCTCCTTCCTGTCGGTGTAGAGCCCCATGACACTGGCAAACTGACCCACCAAGCTAATAGGAAAGCCATTTTCTGCCTTCCTTCCTCTTATTTCTTTCATCATCCGCTCTCCCCACTGTTTGCCCAACCCCACTCAGTCCTCAAGGCTGCCCTTGGGTTCTCAACAGCAGCGGCGACTGTATCTTAGTGAAGTGGGGGAGACATAAAATATTACCCTACCCGCAGCAGCATGAGTAAAGCTCTTATTAGAATTCGGGGCCTGCAGCTGGACCATCCAGCATGGGACAGGAGAGAAAGCTCAGTATTGTTAGCTCACGAGTGGCTCGGACTTCCTGGCAAGGACGGGGAATTACTCAGTCATTTATGCAGGCTTTCAGAAACGCTCCACTGTTCCCCAACAAAAAGGCATTCAGGGAGAGAGTGGGGGCTTCCCCCAGGCCTTGAATGGATGCTTCGTCCAGTGTCAATGGCCCCTGTGGGAAAGGCAGTGATGTCACCACAAATGCATTCAGGGTTTTGCTCTGCCATCTTTCCTTGCTCCCCTTTCTCTCCACTGTTCCCTGCCCTCCCTCTCTCCCCCTTATTCTCTCCCCTCCTCTCTCATCTGTGTCCTGCTCCTCTCTCCTCCTCTTCCCTCACCACCCTACCTTTCTTTCTTCCCTTTCTTTCTCCCCCTCCTCACATCTGTATCTCCTTCCTCTCTCCTCCTCTTCCCCCTACCTCTCTTTCCTTTCCCCCCTCTCTCCTGCCTTCCCCCAAGTAGTTTCCTACAAGTGAAG